TACAACGTGCGTTATCTATTTCCAGCTCTTATTACCATCTGGTTGCTGATCCTGATAACCAGCACGGAGGACCTCCTGGAGGAGGATACGGCGGAGGATATGGAGCCCCTGGTGGAGGATATGGAGCCTCTGGAGGAGGATATGGAGCCCCTGGTGGAGGATATGGAGCTCCTGGTGGAGGTTACGGAGCGCCCCCTCCTCAAGGTGGCTATGGTGCCCCTGGCGGCGGTGTGAGTAGCTTGCTCTTGGGCTTGTTCGACACTAATGGATACGCAGCCCGGCGGTTATGGTGGTGGATTTACTGCCCCTCCCCCACCTGTAAGGCAACCTGATGCAGAGGAGCAAAAGTGTGTCTGTTTGCTCTGGATTAGCGTTGGCGGAACTGAGACTAAAGCGACTGTAGGCTGCAGAGTTGGTTCCAGGCTGTCGATACAGATCGGTCGGGTGCGATCTCTGTCAACGAGTTGTGTGAGTTGGAATATACTCTTACAGGAGAATAGAACTGACCTTGCATGGATCTTGTAGCCCAAGCGCTCGTCAATGGCAACTGGACGCGTGAGTGCTCAATATTGAATGGTGTCTGGCATCGCACTCATTTGTTGACGAAGCTTTCGACCTTGATACCGTGAAGCTCTTGATGTCTCTCTTCGTACGGTTGTTTTTATATTATCTGACAGTATGCTCATATCGTTTCAGGACACCGATTACAGTGGAACCATTGGTTTCAGAGAGGTACCTCTTGCGGTGATAACGATGAGATGACGTCATGATTAACCTATCCTCCCAGTTCACCACTCTGTGGAAGTACATCAATGCAAGGCGACGTTTCTTGTGAGGATCGCGTGCAGGTACTCATACATGCTTTTTGCAGGAGTGGCAAGGTATCTTTAAGCACTTTGATCGTGATAATTCTGGCTCCATCGACAATCGCGAGCTGCAAGAAGCCTTGAGACAGTTTGGGTAAGATCGCGGTGTTCGACTGTATTTATTTTGAATCCTTGACTGAGGACCATCCTAGATTTCCCTTGAGCCCTCCTCTGATTGACCTCGTCGTCAGGAAATACGGTATGAAAAGGCATCGCCAAGCTCACACCCTGACTGACTTGTACCCCTTTCTGGGGTAGATTTTAAAGGCTCGACACACCAGGCAAGAGGAGCACCCCCTACTGGTATTACGTTCGATCGCTTTGTGCGCGCGTGTGTCGTAATCAAGCAGCTCAGCGAGACTTTCAGGAGGCTCGACGGGGACAATGATGGATGGGTCCAGATCAATTACGACCAGTTCATGGATACGGTTCTCAGGCTTCCTTGATTCGGGTGATGCTACACGTATGTAATGAGCTACGCACTTTCGTAAATTACTGTATGTATTCATGAAAGAATCTTCAAACGCTGGCGATTCAGATTAATAAATGGCTAACATGGGCACATGGTGTAGTTGGTTATCACGCCCGCTTAGCATGCGGGCGGTCCCCGGTTCAATTCCGGGTGTGTCCATTTGGATGACTTTTTGTTGCGCGAATTCTCTTCCACTCGACGCGTATCAAGTTTCTGTTCATCCTCCTTGGCAATGTTAATCGCCTCAACGATAACAGCCACCAGTTCCTCGCATGACCTTCCTGTCATCGTCCTCGTGTCCAGCGACACCGAGGGCACCATCTATTCGCGCAAATTCATAGCGCGTCCCACTCGTTACGCGGTACGTTCAACATCTAGTTTTCTCCCTCTATAGGGGCCCATGGTGACTGATGTCACATAGGACTTAGTATCTGCTGCACGCCACGCCTTCCGTTTCGCTAAGCATGCGACCCTGGTCTTTGGCACATCGACGCTCGATGTGTGCCGCGGGAATTCGATCGAGATCGATGAGAGCGCGTATGCCCCTCTCTTTGAATTCTTGGATGAAATCACGGTTGTGCCTGTAGAGCAGCACAAAGATGATGCTATCGTTGCTGCCGGTACGTTCTATTTTCAACTACGTGAGCGGACACTGAGCCTCTCGAATGTAGCTGAGAACCGTCATGGCAAAGCGCGCGACCCTGGCCCCATCGTAGTAACTTCACCGGCCGTTGGTGAACCAACGGATGCCTGGAAGCGTGCGGGGCGCCAACCTCTACCTCAGCCTCAACCAGACGCGCCGACAACGATCGGCGATGGGAAGACCACCTCGATACCACCTTCCAAAGAGCTACCAAGAGAAAAACCCTCGTCTACTCCCACTCTTCCTCGCCTCAGCACCAAAATCCCCGCAAAACCCCAACTTGAGCCTGAGCCCAAATCGGTACCTAAAGCTACCAAATCGCGTCTCCAGCGCAAGCCCGAACCCGAATCTAAATCCGTCGAGGGAGAATTAGAGGACGATCCTTCACCCAAGCCCAAACCACTGGCCAAGCCTCCCAGTCGTCAGCGCAAGGCAGAGCCGGCGCCTATACTCGAGCCCGAACCTGTTGAACCCGAGCTCGAACCTGCACCCAAACTTCGTCAACGCAAACCCGCCGCGCCTGAACCTGAGGTGGAAACTGAACCCGAGGACGAACCTGTCGAAGCGCCTCCACCTAAATTCAGACCAGCGTCGAAAGCTCGTCTGAACAAGCCGGAGCCTATACCAGAGCGCAGTAAACCAGGACCTGCGCCTGCGTCCCGCGAGCCATCCTTCAAAACCAGTCGGTTCCGGCGCAACATCGTTCGGGAGAGCGATGACGAAATCGAGGAGCTGCCCGGGCCTCCTCCCAAACATGCACCGGCCTCTACCAAGGCTAAGGCTGCCTACCCAGACGACACGAACGGCATGCCTGACCTCTTCGCGGACGAAAGGCTTCCATCTACCAATGCCAAGGAAGCCGCATTTGCCTCAGCTGCGGGCAGCAACCACACGCCCGACCCCGAGGACGAGGAAGAGTTCTGGCGCTTTGGGAACGAGAGTGGGAGCGGCACCAAGTCGAAGACGGTGACTCCCCAGACACAAACCTCGAAGCCACTTCCGCTTGAGAGGGCGCCGCCCGTTTCCGAGGGGTCGCAGATCATCGGCGTGAAGATATCGACGGAACCGCAGACGGAGGAGAAGAAGAAGCAGGCCAGAGCTGATCGTGCGCGGTGTACGTTTGCTTTCTTCTTCTTTTCTTATCTACCACGACTCTATTTCGTCTCGACTCCTACTCCAGTCGTTATGGTTATTTTTTCACGTCTTTTATTCTATTCCGATTCCGCATTACCCAACCTATTTTCCATTTACACACAGTATCCATGATCGACACATCCCAGCTCCCACTTGCATCGCTGCGCGCTTCTCGATTACAAGGTACATGCAGCCCCATCATTCCCTATCCATCAAACTATTGCTCATCACTCATACACCATTTAACGGATCTAGAACCAGCCACACGCCAAGACGAGCGCTTCAGCGTGGAGGTATACGGCCCCATCCCCGATCAGGAGGCCGAGTTCAGAACCCGTGGAGGACATAAGGTCAGGAAGGTGCTCGACAGCGTGTGTAAGACGTTTGGATACCCATCCGATAAGTGCGTGTGCTCCTACTAACCTCGGCATTTTGTTGCGAGATCCTGACCCTATTTTTGTTACTCGTTGCCTACACAGATCTAGGCTTCTACTCTCTATACAAGTCGACGGGCAGGAGGCGTTATATTTATGCGATCCTGACGAGATGATTTGGGAGTGTGGCATTGGCTCTCAGGCGCAGCTTAAGCTCCAGGTCGAGGGCGTGACGGTAGAGGAGGAGGAGGAAACCGAAGAGGAAGAAGAGGAAGAAGATTGATAACAGATGTGTGCTGTATACCTTGTTCCCTGACTTGTTCTTTCTTGGAATCTGACATTTGCTTAGTGGATAAAATTTGTCTGTAGGATAACCGGAAAGAGGCTGGCGCTATGCTATGCCTTTGGATTTGGACGGGGGACGTACAGCAATACATGTATTTAAAGTTCTCGCCGTCAGCTCACAAAATATACATTCTCTTCAAAGTATCAAAGAAAGAAAACCCTGGCTAGGTCACAATAGAAATGAATATTAAATCGATTTTTCGCTCCTTCCACCTTCCCAAGCCATATACATAACATATAATTCAATTCAGAAATAAGAAGAAAAAAACGGGGATGAAAATGGGGTGTGGCGTGTCGAGTGATGCTAAGTATCGGACATAAATTCAAATTAATAACCGGACAATACAGGAACTAAAAAACTTCACATTAAATGAAGTGGTCGCTTTCATAACGATATCGTTCATGCGACAGTACAGGAGCCTCCGGCGGAGGTGTCATTATCATTCTTGATAGACTCCTCGTCGGTAAGTAGCGACTCCAAAGTGGTGGCGACTTCTTCATTGGAGAAGAGAGCAGTGAGAAATATGAACGCGTCCATCAATTAAAAAGCGGGGTTGGTTTGGCTGGTTGGTGGCGTTCAGCGAAAAGCTGATATATGCGAGGTGGGAGTTCTTAGGAACTGGGTGTCACTTTATCTACATCGACAGCACTTGATAAGCTCGCTGCTAAGAAAGCCTGATGGTACCGTGGGGGGTACAATGTGGTAGTCCCGTCCAGCAATGGGCGTCCGCCGTCCATATCTACAAGAAGGGCACCTCAATCAATTGACAACAAACGAAAGACTCGGACATTCTAGTTGTTAGGTTGTCGGCCATGTTGCGGGATGATCTGGACTGCTCGGTGTCCCTCATCCGTATGTTCACGCTGCAGGGGTTGAGTTACTTTGTGCTATCGGCAGGGAGTTGTAGCCGACGGTGGAAATACTGACAAATGACGGAAGTAAATCTGGCAGAACTTGAGTCTGATCAAGATTCATCTCGATCCTCGATCATGGACGGAGGTATATCTGCTACTTCATATCTTTCATCTACCTTACCATATCAATACATCAATGTGGCGTCACGACAAAACTCGCTCCCGTTGACCGTCAAATTGCTGCGAACCTTTGTAGAACGGTCATAGAAACACATTGCGAGGGCCATCATGGTGTGAGCAATAAATGGTATGGGCACATGGTGTAGTTGGTTATCACGCCCGCTTAGCATAATATCCCTCTCGAGGGCTGCTAATTCTGCGGGCGGTCCCCGGTTCAATTCCGGGTGTGTCCAATGCACAGGCCGTTCACTTGGCCATCTTTTTGAAGCCTCTTTGCGCCCCAAGGCCGCGCACTCTGTAGCCTTATGGGCACACACACGGTGCAGTTGGTTATCACGCCCGCTTTGCATTGTGCAAGCGTGTGATGTCTAAGCAAGCGGCCTGGCTGCGCCAGGCTCCGTCGCGTCGTCCGTTACATGGCTTTACATCCGCGGTCAATAAAGTGTTCTGTGTATGTCCCTGGTTCAATTCTGGGTCTGTCCAGTAACTCCAGTTGATGATGATTTTGGCTCCGCCACCCGATCCAGATCTTGATCGATCTCCAATTATTTCCCATCGTCTGACGCCTAAGAGAATGTTCATTTTAAGGAGCAATTACAATCTGTACTAGTACAGGCATCGATAACATCATGCTCGCTTTCCTTAATAGCAGGACTCACATGCATCGCCAATGATGACCCCAGAGATTCTTGAGTTTCCTTATCTTTTTGATTTGTTTCTTGCTTTCTCTCCTTTCTACCCTTTTCTACGCCCTCTTCCTCTGCATCTCGTATACGATGCGCGAACCGGTAATTGCACAAAATGTACAACAGCATGGGGACTTGCTTATCACATTAGCATTAGTCGCCATAAACGCGGGTTCCAAGGATAAGGAGCATTTTCGGAGGCCTCTGCCCTCTGTAAGTCGCACCTTTAACGCCCTCTGTGCGAACCCATTCTTTCTATCCCACCCCAATTGCGTGCAAAGCTATTCGGCGCAATGTCCTAGTTGGACGGAAATTTGTCCAAAACGACAGTGACGTCACGCGAGTCTCATTGGCACCCCCTCTCATTTCAACTCTCATCTTTGGTGGCTCTCACATTGTGCGTTATGCTTACTCAAAATTCTGCCATCCAATAATCTATCCATTGTTTAGGTGATAAAATCAAGGTGTTGACACCTTTTAACATCAACAAGTTTGAATCTTTGCTTAACAACCCATTCGAAACAATCTTTTGTACATTCCATCGTGAATGGATTTAGATTTTTGGGTTTTGGCCTTTTGACAAAGGAAACTGGGGGATGGATGATATGATATTATTTCAATTCCTAATTACATTGAATTAGCTAGATAGCAATAGCACTTGAGAGGCAACCACAATGGATGGGTTCAAGGGCAAGTGACGGCAAGGGGGAATGAGCAACAATGTCACTATTGATTTGGCACCTGAGATTCGAGCAGAGATTGTAGATTTGAAGGCAAGGTAGGAAGGAACAAGCGCCAAAATAATAGAAACAACTGACAACAATAATTGGACACACCCGGAATTGAACCGGGGACCGCCCGCATGCTAAGCGGGCGTGATAACCAACTACACCATGTGCCC